TCCTGAAGAGTAGACACAAACCACACATGATTTTAGTTTATATTCTAACATTGACAGGAATCCTTCTCTTAACTTTGCTATTTGCAGCAGGACTCTAAACAGTCACCCCAAAAATTTGGTGTACACCTCACAAGCTCTCTATTTCTGTTGCTTTCTATATGATAATACTGATTACTCTTCTTGTCTACATTTAAATGCCCTATGCCGCTTGCCTTGCCAGTTTACTGTTTTCCTCCAAACCATTTTAGCTAATATCTCACGGTTCTACCCACAAACTTCTACCCTCGACTCCTTCTTTGAGTGGATAAATGACCTTATGTGGCAAGGGACACTCCAATTCTTTCACCCTAACAAAGTTCTCCTCTTTTCTACTCACTTATTCCCGGTCCCATTCTGTCATTCCTTACTCCTTCCTAATTACCTTCCAACCCTTACTCCCCTAATACCCATCTTCCTTCTTTTATTCAGACCTTGCATTTTCCAAATAGTCTCTCAGTTCCTACAAAGCCATATTCAGACCATCACTAATCACTCTATATGGCAAATGCTACTTTTAACAACCCCACAATACCACCCCTGTCCCAGGATCTCTCAGCTTCTTAAGACAAAATGCCTTCCCAACCTTCCGCATTCATTTGCCTGCCTTATACCCAGTCCTATTTCACAGCAGAAACACCAACACATTGCTCATGAATTCCAGGCAATGCCCGGCTAATGTCAAGATGCAGCATGACACCTCTCCAGAACCTGCACATATCCCTTTCAATCCAAGTCTTCTGGGATCACCCCCATCCAACCTTGGCCCAAGGCTCCATCACCACCCACCTTAAAGCTATTATGCTTCCAAGGACTTAACCAAATACTAAACTACAAGAATCACAGGCTTTTCTTTCAGGTGTCCGTGCAGCCCCCTGTCATGCTCGAAGAAGCCACAAGAAACATCATCCCTACTCTCTTCTCTAACTTTTTTCTTAATACACATATAAAAAGATGGGAACATCAGGCCTCCGAGTCCAAGCTTTGATGACCCACATGTACACCTCCGGATGGTCCCCAGGAGCCAGAAAGTCAGAGGTAACCACAAGTAACCAGGTGGCGACAGAAAGAAGTGAAACAACTTGTTCCTGCCTCAACTAATCGCTGTCGCCTGCAACCTGCAACCGTTGTTCCTGCTCAGCCTTGCAGAATTTCTCCCCTGGACACTGGGTTTCTCAGGACCCCCACCCCTGTAACTATGTAATTTACCACATCCTCCCCCTGCTTGCAACTGATAACCCCCACCCTTAGGATCATGCCTATTTATAATAAATGACCCCTCTGCCCTTGTGATCATGCATCCCATGATGCCCTTCCCCTCCCCAAGACAGATTACCTACCCCTACTCTTGTGACCATGCATCCCATGATGCCCTTTCCCTCCCTATAATAGATTACCACCCTTAACTGACCACTTGCCCCAACCTAGAAAACCAACTTCTATCCCACCACCCTCCACTGACTCTATTTTCAGACTCAGCTCACACACCCGGGTGAATAAAGAGCCATATTTCTCACACAAAGCCTGCCTGGTGGTCTCTTTATGCAAGTGATGCACCTAACATTGACAATATAAAAAGCTGAAAATTTTGAAAGTCAGAAAACATCACCCCACATATTTCTTACCAGTAGGAACAAGGGGCTGGGGAAGAGAGAACTTTTACTTTGTATTATACATGCTTCTGTATTATTTAATTTACTCAGTGACTATGCATCTTTTAAAATAAAAAATACATACAATAAAACATGTTATAAACAATGAAAAGTAAATGCACTGATTATTTGACACAAATATGACAAGAGACTTAACAGTCTTAATATACAGAAGCTCATACAGATCAAAAAGAAAAGCATTAAGATCATTAAAATAAAAATGAGTAAGAAAACAATTTATACTTTGAAATGAACAAGTTTTTAAATTTAAAACATGGGTAAGGACGTTAACAAAACGTTGAAAACTGAGTACAAACATGTAGTAAACAAATAAAAAATGTCTCAATAGTCAAATAAGTACAACCTAAAAGTGAGATATCTAGTGACAAGTTTAAACTAGTGAAAGAAAAGAGAGAAGAAAAGTGAAATATCACTTTTTGCCTATTAGAATAGCAAGACTATTTTAAAAATTTTATAAATCTAATATTTTATCCATAGTTTGTGGGAGTATATATAATTTGCTTGGTAAGAAATTTGGCAATGCCAGATATCTGAAAGATTCAGAGTCTTGATTAGTGATTCTATTTCTAGGAATATATTTTAAGGTAATAATCACAGACATGAACAAAAATTTAACCATAATCGTAACAGTAAGAAATAAATATTTGGTCTCTACCCTTGGTTCCTAACCCAGAGCTCTTAAAAGCCTTATAATTTCCTGACTGGTAGGGGTGAGAGAAGCATCTTTTGTTATAAATTTGTTGTATTTGTTCTTTGACCTTCATCTATATCCTTTATAACAAACCAGTAAATATATGTAAGTGTTTCCCTGAGATGTGGGAGCCATCATAGCAAACTATCAAAACTGACGAGGAAGGTCCTGAAAATCCTTGATTTGTAGCCAAGTCAAACAAAAGCATGGGTAACCTGAAGACTCACTAATTGCTACTGGTGTCTAACTGTGTAGTCTTAAAAATGCTTGGTGTAGAAAAACTACACATTTAGTGTCGGAAGTGTTGCATAAATATAGAAAAATAGATTATTTTTCCTTTTTAATAGTGGTTCATCTGAAAATTATTTAATTGTGGAAATTATAAGGATTGAATAAGGGCATAGTTAATGTTTTACATCTATCAATAAGATGAATATAATGCTGTAATTAAAAATGTTTATGAAAGTTCAATATAATAAAAATACCAGTCTTCCATACATTAGGTATAAATTTAACATAGTTCCAATAAAAATACCTTCAGAATTCTTTTAATTGAAAAGCTGATCCTAAAAGTCGAATGGGAAAATAAACAAGAATGGCCAGGAAGACCAGGGGAGAGAAAGAGTAATGAGGAAGGACCAGCCCTACCAGATAGCTATGAAAACATTTTGTAAAGATGCAATAGTTAAAAGAGCTTACTACTAGAACATTAATAGACAAATGAAACATTATAGACACAAAATATATACATGAGTTTATTCTGTGAAAAAGTAAGCATCTTAAATCAAAGGAGGAAAGGATGGACTACTGAGTAAATGATAGTAAGACAACTACAAGATATAAAGAAAAAAGTTGGATCCATACCTTCCTAATATTTACCGCTTCAAAAAAAAAAAAAAAACCATAAAAAAGTGAAATCTACAAGTACTACAAGAGAAAGCAGAAGGACTAGAAGAAAGCAAGGGACAATAATAATAATTATTATTTTTTGAGGTGGAGTCTCGCTATGTGGCCCAGGCTGGAGTGCAGTGATGCGATCTCGGCTCACAGCAACCTTCGTCTCCCAGGTTCAAGAAATTCTCCTGCCTCAGCCTCCCAAGTAGTAGACGGGACTACAGGTGTGAGCCACCACACCCGGCTAATTTTTTTGTATTTTTAGTAGAGATGGGGTTTCACCGTGTTAGCAAGGATGGTGTCGATCTCCTGACTTTGTGATATGTCCGCCTCGGCCTCCCAAAGTGCTGCAACTACAGGCGTGAGCTGCCATGCCCAGCCCTGGGATAATTATTCTTTTAGCGCATTTAAAATGGGGAAAGTCTTTCTAAAGACTGTGCAAAATCCAGAAACCATAAAAGTAAATATTGTAAATTTAACTACATAAAAGTATATTGCAAAATATCAGCATGGAAAAGATTCCAAAAGCAAAGGCAAAAATCAAACTGGGGAAAATAATTGTGATCTATATTACAGACGAAGGACTAATCTCCCTCATGTGTCATGGCAGCTGGGTTCCCACAGAGTAAGTGATGAGAGAGAGAACCCAAGATGAAATATGGAAGGTCCAAACCTTTTATAACCTAATCTCAGGAGTGACATCGAGTTTTTCTTTCAAATTTTTCTGATTTGTTTCCCTATGGTATGATTTATCTTGTTTCTTGCCTTTGTTTCTCTTATAAATTTTAAAATCAGATTTAGAAGCTTAATTAACTTTATGCTAAGCCTTTTTGCCAAGAATATTTCATATGTAGTATATTGAATTTTATGTTTCCTTTTATTAGTGAAGCAACTTTCCCAGAAGCACTACAGTGGACTTGTTCTCAGATCTAATTGGCCAGATCAGGGAAATATGCACCGTCCTGGACCAATCACTGGTGATGAAAGTGTAACACCCGCCACTGGGGTTCTGCTACTACACACGATGAAGAGCTGTAATCTCAGGGTGTTAAAAAACAAAGTTGGGTGAACTGGTTAGAGTTCATAGATCCAGAGGACAAGGTGCTCTCCCTTGCGTTTAAACAGAAACATCAACTTGGAGTCAAAAAGGGAAGTGGCCAGAGTTGAGGCAGAAAGGTAAATAGAAGCCACATCATGGAGGGACCATATACAATACACAGTAAATGCTGCCAAGCAGGAAAAGGTCATGATCAGATGGACATTTTAGAAAGAACCAGTCTGGCGACAGCATGAAAAGTTTAGGCAAATCTGGAGGCAAGAGGGGTCACTGGGATTCAAGTGTAGGCTGCAGCTGGCTGGGATCAGACAGTTGGTAGCAGCCAGACCCAACTCTAATATTTGAGGGGCCTGGGTAAGAGAACCAAAGGAGGCCAACATACCATATGAACAAGTATTCAAAAGCTATAAATCAAGTTAGTAAACTGTCAAAAACTCTGTCTTCCTGCCTTGATAAATACATCTTCCTAAGGACCTGAAAGGTGAGGTTTACATTGAGAATTCTGACTCCTTGGAGTTCCATGCTGGACCTTGGAGGCCCAGAAGAGCAGGCTCTGGCCTATGGCCTTCCTCGCTTCCCTTCCCTGTCCAAATAAGACTGTGGAATAACACAGATATTTTGAATGTTTGGATCTTACCCGACTACTTACTATTTATGTGAACCGAGGCACTTCAGCTTCTACAATTTTCAAGTGACAGCCATTAGGGGTAAAGTAGGAAACAAACTAACGGCTCTGCCCTTAAGGAACCTAGAGGATGGCGGGAGAAAAAAATCAGTAAGCAGGTGAGCTACAGGTAGTGGTTGATAATAGCCCACTGTGTGGCTTCTCTCGGAGATGTTTGGGCTTTTCTCCGGGAGGTGTTAGGTGGTCAGTAGTTCCCAAACAGGGCGAGATTGCCAGAGGTCTCTGGGTGTCTGTGGGCGTTTGGTGGTCACCAAGCCTGGGTATTCACGTGAGGCAAACTTCCAGCAACGTGTGGGAACAGTGCTGTTGTGCCCAAAGGGCCAAGGGCGCCCCTGCTGAGAAACAGTGCGAGGTGTTCTGTCCTCATGGGGGATTAGGGGCGTAGGGGTGGCGGGGCGTAATTTTGGCAGTTACTTCTTTCGCCAGTGGCACCCGTCACTTCTGGAGGGTGCTCTGAGGTCACCTGTAGATGCACGTCGGGGAAGGGGAAGAGCCAGGAGGGTCCGGACGTACTTGGGCGGGGTCGTTCCTGGAACCCAGGCCGAAGAGCCGCGGCGGCGGCCCAGAAGCAGAGGACGACAGCGACACCTGGCTCTCCTCCGAGCGGCGTCCGGAGGCGGCCTCAAAGGCGGGCAGGGAGCCCTGCAGGGGCGTGGCGGGGCGTGGCCGCGCGCCGACGGCGTGGGGTTAAAGGGCAAGCACTGCCGGCGTCATGGCGGCCTCCGCGCAGGGCTTGGCCTTGGGGCAGCTGCGGCTCGGCGCCGCCGGCCTGTGCTGCCGCCGGCCGTCTCGGGGTCTGTACGCTCGCGTGCGGCGGCTGCCCGGGCCCGAGGTGTCTGGGCGGAGCGTGGCTGTGGCCGGCGGACCGGGCGCCTGGGGCACTGACAGCTACTGCCTGGAGCTGCTGCGGTGAGCGAGCACGACCTTCCCTGGAGGGAGGTCCGGAAGCGAGGTCCGGGGGCGGGAGCGGCTGCGCCTGACGTTTGAGCCGGCGGACCGGCGCCTTCCTCGTGCCCCGCTGGGTGTGCGTTCTAGTGGGCGCCGGGTGCGGGTGTGTGGAGGCAGCGAGCCCGCAGGAACATTCACGTGGGTCACAAAATTATGGCAAAATTCCTTCGAATGCCCACGCTTATCGCTTTATCTGAACCCTAAGTTTAACAGAACTCAGCGTTTTTGCATGAATAATCTTTTTTACTAACAGAACATTTATTAATTTTAATGGCCACGGTAGCCAACTTTGAGTTCTTTCTGTGTGCTCGGCATTATGCAAAGTAGATAATGAGTAATTAGTCTTCAGGTTGCGACAAATGTAGACCTATCATTTAGGAGTGTAGTAGAGGAGCATTAGAACAATGTCTGGCATAAAGGCACAGTGAGTGGAAGTCATTATTATCTCATTTAACAGGCAAGGAAACGAGGTTTTATAGTGATTAGAGAATTTGCCAGAGGTTCACAACAATAGCCTCGTAAAGTCAAGGCCCTGAAGTATTTTGTTTGTTGGGCTCTCCGAACGCTGGGAAGGCCTGGCACTTGGGAGTTGCTCCTTAATCGTTTGCGGAGGTGGGTTGGATCAGTCAGGTCACCTGGCTCTTGCGGCAAGGGCGCCTGGGAATCCAGGCCTGACTGCTGAAGACAGTGGCTTAGCCCTTCTCCCCTTCTGCTGCGTGTCATTTGAAACAAGTGGGGTAAGGTCTCGAAGTACTTGGTCTCAATGACTTAGCAAAAGTACTTGAATAACTAAACTAACTTGAAGTTGATTATCTAAGTAAAACCTTTTTTTAAAATTCCATTTTAGAGAAAAGTAGCATAACACAACAAAATACATGCATTTCAGTGTTTTGTTTATAATCACTTTTTAAAAATTGTGGGCCGGGCGCAATAGCTCATGCCTGTAATCCCAGCATTTTAGGAGGCGGAGACCGGCAGATTGGATTGCTTGAGCCCAGGTGTCTGAGACCAGCCTGGCCAACATGGCGAAACCCCATCCCTACAAAAAAAAAAAAAAAAAAAAAAAAAGAAAAAGAAAAAAATGCAAAAATTGGCTGGGCTTTGTGTCACGCGCTTGTGGTCCCAGCTACGTTGGCTGCTGAGGTGGGAGGATCACTTCACGCTGGCAGGTGGAGATTGCAGTGAGCCAAGATGGCTCCACTACACTCTAGCCTGGGCAACAGTCTCAAAAAAAAAAAAAAAAAAAAAAAAAAAAAAAAAAAAAAAAAAGCAGAACATTATTAAAGCGAAAATAAGCAAAATATTATTATTTCTTCCCTACCTTATTTTTTGATTACTTATAAGAGAAACAAGATAGCATAGTGGAAAAACGACATTAAGAATTGTAAAAGCCAAAATTGGTAAAAGATTGCATTATTTTTACATATTTAAGTTGTTATATTTTGACGATAAAAAGTTTAAGTTGCCAGAGTATACCACCCAATAGCCACTAGTGTCATAACTTTCCAGCAGTAATCGTTCTTACAAATTTCTTATCTATTCTTCCAGGGATAGTCTGTGGATTTACAAATATTTAAGGCTGCAGGGATGGCTCATACTTGTAATCTCAGTACTTTGGGAAGCCTGGGCAGAAGGGTTGCTTGAGCCCAGGAGTTTGACATCAGCCTGGGCAACATAGTGGAACCCTGTTGCTACAAAAAGTAAAAAAGAAAATTAGCTGGGCTTGGTAGCACAGCCTGTGGTCCCAGCTACTGGGAGGCTGAGGCAGGAGGATCACTTCACTCCAGGAGGCTGAGGCTGCTGTGAGCTGAGTTTGCTTCATTACACTCCCACCTGGGCAAGAGAGTGACACCCTGTTCAAAACAAACAAACAAAAATATTTAAATATATTATTAGTTATTTTTGACTTCAGTCCCATGCTAGCTTTTCTCAAGTATGTATACTGTATTTACAAATGGTCAGGTACTTAACTTGTCCATGGGGGCTCTTGACTCTAGTGACTTGTTTCAAAGGCTGAATTTTGCAGGCAGACCTGATTTGATAGTATTAATCCCAGCTCTAGCACTTGGGAAAGTTACTTTAAGATTCCATTTTGGCTGGGCACCATGGCTTACACCTGTAACCATAGCAATTTGCTAAGCTTTCCAGACCAGCCTCAGCAAGACAGTGGGACCCCTTCTCTACAAAAAATAAAATTAGCCGGGCACGGTAGTATGCACCTGTAGTCTCAGCTACTTGGGAGGCTGAGAGGGGAGGATTACTTGAACAGGGAGGTTGAGGCTGCAGTGAGCCAAGATCTTGAGACTGCACTCCAGCTTGGGTGACAGAATGAGACTCTGTCTCCAAAAATAAATAAATAAATAGATAAATAAATTTAATTTTTTCCTCATTTGTAAATGTTTTATAACCTGGTTTTGAGGATTACATGTGATGATATGGTAAAAAATGCTTAGCAGAGTTCAGATACTTAACAAATAATGAGTTTAAAAAATGAAAACAAACTTGAAATCGAGTTTCTGGCTTCTAATTGCCCATCAATAATCTCTGCAAGATTTGGCCTCTGAAATTGTTTGAGCAGAGCTGTTTTGGATGTGCATTTTATGCAAGGCCTCCAAATATCAGGAAAAATACCAGGCCGTAACTTCAGGCTTGCCATCCTGGGCTTTCTTAGTAATTTAGGTTCCTGGGAAAATCTCAAGCATAATTTACATAGGCTTCTCTGTCCTTGGCTTTGAGGAGGCCAAACAGAGAACCTCAGGCTGTAGTGAGAAGGTGAGGAGGTATTACTGGTGGTGTTGGAGTGCATGAATGTTCTTTACTCTCCTGCAGCTTCACCAGGGAATCACTTCCTTTGTGCCTCAATGGCACAGTCCAGGGTACTAACGCACAACCATCCTAATACCCCATGTGCTTATTTCTCATATGTCTGTCTGTCTCGACTAAACTGAAGTCAGTGCCTATCTTCAGTGTCTGGCACAGTGCCTGGCACATAGTAGGCACGGCATAAATGTTAGAATGAATGAGAGGTTATTGGCCTTATTGCCGTATAAAGTTGAATTTATACATCCTTAATATGGCATTTCTCATTATCTAGGACAGCTCTCAGGTAGCTGGATCTTGGTTAGATGCCTAGGACATCCTTGTATACCCATAGTTTAAGAATTCATATTTATAACAATGATCCTAAGTGATGAAGAAATGGCTAAATAATAAATATATCCTGTTTAATGTGGTAAAGGGGGTAATACTGTTTACAAAAATTTCCATCCAAAATTTAAAAATAAATTTGTTAATAGGGCAAATTCGCCGGGCGCGGTGGCTCACGCCTGTAATCCTAGCACTTTGGGAGGCTGAGGTGGGTGGATCACCTGAGGTCAGGAGTTCAAGACCAGCCTGGCCATCATGCAGAAACCCCATCTTTAAGGAAAAAAAGTGAAATAAAATAAAATAAAAATAGAGCAAATCCTTAGCTGTGTAGAAGACTTTATTTTCCAAATGTTGTTACAGTTCTATCTCTTCATTTCATTTTTCATTTCCCTTTAAGAAGCTTGAAGTACTGCACATATTGCTTATTTTTAGGAGATAACCTTCAAGCTTCATTTGCAAATTGGGAAATAGGCATGATTGGTGTCATTTCTATTAATAACTAGTTGGGTGATGGAAGTTGAGATTGTAGTTTGATTCCCATTCAGTGTTTTTCTCACTGTTTCATGTTAACTTCAAGTGTTTTAAACACTTCTGAAATTTGGAAACTTTTTTTTTTTTTAAGATGGAGTTTCACTCTTGTTGCCTAGGCTGGTGTGCAATGGCGTGATCTCGGCTCACTGCAGCCTTCGCCTCCGGGGTTCAAGTGATTCTCCTGCCTCAGCCTCCCAAGTAGCTGGGATTATAGGCATGTGGCACAATGCCTGGCAATTTTTATATTTTTAGTAGAGACAGGGTTTCACCATGTTGATTAGGCTGGATGGTTTTGAACTCCTAACCTCGGGTGAGCTAATAGAGAACTCTTATCCCCAAGGGGATGCACCAAGCCATTCACGAGGGATCCACCCCCATGACCCAAATACCTCCCACTAGGCTCTACCTCCAACATTGTGGGGGTCACATTTCAATATGAGATTTGGAGGAGACAAATAGTCAAATATCAGAGCCCTAGTTTCTTTCAATGGAGAATGGTTTCAGATTCTCCAAGAATTCTCCTCAGAACCAAGATCTGGGTGCTAGGTGTGTTCATCAATACTAGGAATGTGGGGTGGGGCCTGGGGGTATTGTTACTTCTAGGCTCTTTCAGCAGATGCTGCAAGGAAATATGTGTCTGTGCACAGTTCGACATGAGTTTCGATGTCTTATCTCTGCCTTTTTATGTATCTGTCTATATCTATCTATGTCTTAAAAACCATAAATTCACCCCAATATTTGCTCGAACTATTTTTCTCTTTTTTTTTCTTTTTTTTTAATTGCATTTTAGGTTTTGGGGTACATGTGAAGGACATGCAAGATTATTGCATAGGTACACACATGGCAGTGTGGTTTGCTGCCTTCCTTCCCCTCACCTGTATCTGTCATTTCTCCCCATGCTATCTCTTCCCACCTCCCCACCCCCCCGTCCCTCCCCCATTTCCCCCCACGGACCCCAGTGTGTAGTGCTCCCCTCCCCGTGTCCATGTGTTCTCATTGTTCAACACCCGCCTACGAGTGAGAACATACGGTGTTTGATTTTCTGCTCTTGTGTCAGTTTGCTGAGAATGATGGTTTCCAGGTTCATCCATGTCCCTACAAAGGACACGAACTCATCGTTTTTGATGGCTGCGTAATATTCCATGGTGTATATGTACCACATTTTCCCTATCCAGTCTATCATCAATGGGCATTTGGGTTGGTTCCAGGTCTTTGCTATTGTAAACAGTGCTGCAGTGAACATTTGTGTGCATGGGTCCTTAGAGTAGAATGATTTATAATCCTTTGGATATATACCCAGTAATGGGATTGCTGGGTCAAATGGGATTTCTATTTTTAGGTCATTGAGGAATCGCCACACTGTCTTCCACAATGGTTCAACTAATTTACACTCCCACCAACAGTGTAAAAGTGTTCCTATTTCTCCACATCCTCTCCAGCATCTATTGTCTCCAGATTTTTTAATGATCACCATTCTAACTGGTGTGAGATGGTATCTCAATGTGGTTTTGATTTGCATTTCTCTATTGCTCGACCTATTTTAACTTGATTTGTACTTTTAAGCTCATTTGAATTCTTACTAAAACAAAAGTGATTCTAAGACAGTTAAAATGATAAGTACTATATAAGTCAAAATAAATTGATAGAGATTAGGTGGCATTGGGGTACATTTTTCATAACTTTTGAGAAACAGATATAAAAAAGAAGACGTGTCGGACCTTTTCTGAACTGAAGCCTCACGTTGTTGTTGTTGTTTTTTGAGACAGAGTCTTGCTCTGTTTCCACCCAGGCTGGAGGGCAGTGGCACAATCTGGGCTCACTGCAACCTCCACCTCCTGGGATCAAGCAATTCTCGGGCCTCAGCCTCTCCAATAGCTGGCGTTACAGGCACGTGCCACCATGCCCAGCTAATTTTTGTATTTTTAGTAGAGACGGTTTCACCATGTTGGCCAGGCTGGTCTCGAATTCCTGGCTTCATGTGATCCACCCGCCTTGGCCCCCCAAAGTGCTGGGATTGCAGGCATGAGCCACTGTGCCCGCCCTGAAGCCTTTTTGTTTTCAGTTAATTTTGGTCAGTATTTTTATGTGCAGCTTGGAAAGTGAGGAATAACTTTTTTTTTTTTCTGTCTGTTACAGGAAACGGGATTATGAAGGTTATTTATGCTCCCTGCTGCTCCCTGCAGAATCCCGAAGCTCTGCTTTTGCACTGAGGGCCTTTAATGTGGAACTGGCTCAGGCTGGTATTAAGATCCCTTAAAATGTTATTTGTGAAATGGTGATGTGATATGTTTAATGCCGAACAATTAAGAAATATAGTTGTAATTTATGTGTTAGATGTGTTTAAGGTCTCTACTAGTGATTTCTTTTCCCTGCCAATTGTTTAGGCTTAATAATTCAATACCAAAAATAAAACTAGCTAATGAACTTAATGTTTCCAGAAATGCCATTCTGGAATTTGTTATTTCTCTTCCTGAAGATATTATAAAACTGTGCCATTAACATTGCATTGTCTGTTAATTAAATAGATTAGTCAGAAAATTACTGCTTATTCTTTCCAACAATTGCATAATTTACATGTATATAGCAGTTTTTCAAAGCACTTTTTAAATTGAGGTTTTAGCTTTAATGTGAATAGGGAATGAAAGCAATTGTAGCAAACTAGGACCTTAGATCATATTGATTCACTTTTGTCTAAGAGTTCCAAAGGAAGGAGAGATCCTTCTTTTTTCTTCTTTAGAACGGAAAGAATATGTACAAATACAAAATAAATTGAAATGGAGGATGGAGATGAGGGAGTGAAAAGTGGAACGGCCTTAGTCTTCTTGGTAACAAATTGAGAGGTCAGATACTGGGAGTGAGGGAGCAGGAGAGAGTTCAGAGTCTTGAAGAGAGCAGCAAATTTTGACACAGCTTCTCAGGGGAAGTGAACAAGGTAGGAAGTGAACAAGGTAGGAAGTGAACAAGGAACAAGTAAAAGGATGTGAATATGGCACCAAGGCACAACTGAGATTCACAACCATGAATCTGCAGTGTCTAATAGACTGGCTCTTTTTTCCTCTGGTGTCTTCCTGGAAGTCATGGGTCATGATTTTTCACCTCATCGTCTTTCAAGTGTAAACTGTACATCAGGCATGTTAAATCAGTCACTGTTTAGCCATAGTTCCTACCTTGGTCTTTATTATCCTTTGTAAATGATTAAAATTTAATTTTTTAATTTTAAATTTTAGAGACAGGTCATCGAGGTTGGAGTGCAGTGGCATGATGACAGCTTATTGCAACCTTGAACTCCTGGGCTTTAAGCCATCCTCCCACCGCAACCTCCCAAGTAGCTGGAACTGCAGATGTGCCACTGTGCCTAGCTAATTAAAAACAATTTTTTTTCTTCAGAGATAGTGTCTTGCTATGTTGCCCAGGCTGGTCTCAAATTCCTGGCCTCAATCGTTCTCCTGCCTCAGCCTCCCAAAGTGCTAGGATTACAGGCAGAAGCCACTGCACCCGGTCAATACAATTTTATTTTTAATAAATAAACTGCAGAGTTCCTTCTGAATTCTCTTCACTTTGTACCTCTTTGTACACTTTGTACTTCTTTGTATACTTTGTACATCTTGGTACTTCTTCGCACATGGAATGAATCTTGCTTATTCACTCATTCAACAAGTATTGACTGAGTGCAGGGACTTCATATAGACTATATTCAGTGCCATACCCACATAACATAAAACAGAGTCTGCACTCAATGAACAAATAAATTGTGTAATGTATCAGATGGAGACTAGTGCAATGGAGAGAAATAAAGCAGGATAAGGAGGCTGTGAAGACTGGGTGCACCTGGGTTCCTATTTTATGTAGAATAGTTAGGAGAAACCTCATGGAGAAGGAGGCATTGGAGCAGAGATTTGAAGGAGGTGAGGGAGTGAGTTGTACCGATATGTGGGCAAAGAGTATTCTGGGCAGAAGGAACAGCAAGTGCCAAGTCTCTGACTTGCAAGTGTGCTTAATCAAAGAACAGAAGAAGGTAGGCAGTGCAGCAGAGCAGGGAGGAGTGTCTGGGTGGAGGTTCAGTTAGGGGCTCCTGGGTCAGAAAGGTCTTGGAGACACCATTACAGTCACTTTGGCTGAGTGAGATGGGAGGCCACTGGAGGATTCTGAGCAGAGAGATGTCACCTCTTGGTTATATTTTGAAAGGATTACTCATGCTGCTGTCTTGCTGTACTGTATGTTACTGGGATATGAACACTAAACATTGCTAAGAAACCCACCCACCACCAGGATATTTGGAAATAATTTCACATATGGAAAAGTAAGAGTAGTACAAAGAATACTCACAGACCCTGTTGTTAGTGTTCCGTCCCATTTGCATTATCATTCTGTCTACATATATATACATACACATTTCTCTTTTTATGAATCATTTCAGAGCAACTTGACTATACCATGACCCATATCCCTATAGACTTGAGTGTGTATCTCATAAGAATAAGGACATTCTCTTATATAAACACAGCACCCTTATGAAAAAAGAAACTTAATATTGATGCAGTACTTTTGTTTGATCTACTGTCTGGTTTCTGGTTTTGTCAAATTACCTGATAAGGTCCTTTATGGTATTATTTTCCCCATCTGTATGGGATCTAATCTAGGATCATGTATTGCATTTAGTTTTCTGTCTCTAGCCTCCTTTATTCTGGAACATTTCCATAGCCTTTCTTTGCATTTTGTGACATTGACATTTTTTAAGAAATACTGTTCCTTTTAAAAATTAGAATGGTTCCCACTTGGGATTTATTTTTTATTTCATCAGGATTATATTAAACTTACAGATTCCTAGCCTAGTATTACCTAAGTGGTCTGTGTCCTCTTCAGAGTCACAAGGAGGCATGAAATAGCCACCTGCCTCTCTGTGGTAATGTTAATTTTAGTCACTGAGTCAAGATGTTAATACTTTTTCCCTTGCTACTAATAGGCAGCCTGTGAGCAGACCTGTTAAGACCATGTTCCTTATCAAAATTTACCTCCTAGACTTAGCTTGTGTTGGTACTTCTTGCCTGAGTCTAAGAAGGCCATTCTTTTTTTTTTTTTTGAGACAAGAGTTTCACTCTTGTCACCCAGACTGCGGTGCAGTAGCACAATCTTGGCTCACTGTAACCTCTGCCTCCCGGGTTCAAGCGCTTTTCCTGCCTTAGCCTCCCGAGTATTGGGATTACAGGTGCCCGCCACCACGCCCAGCTATTTTTATGTATTTTTAGTAGAGACAGGATTTCATCATGCTGGCCAGGCTGGTCTCAAACTCCTGACCTCACGTGATCCACCCGCCTTGGCCTCCCAAAGTGCAGGGATTACAGGCGTGAGCCACCGTGCCTGGCCAGAAGGCCATTCTTAATCAGTAGTGAGTGAGGGAGACAATGTTATAATCTTCTTTTTAAAAATTACTTAAAGAATGAATCAATGAATTTATTTAAAAATACATGCAATAAAATTCACTCTTTGTTGTATTCTATAGTTCTAAAAAATGTAGTTATGTGTTTGCCACCATAGTCATAATATAGAAGTTATATTAACTCAAAAAATTTCTTAAAAAATACTGATTTTTTAGACAGTAGACAATGCATTTGCTGAAGTTTTAAAATCCTGCTTATAGGTTAAAGACTCAATCTCTGAGAAAACAATTGGATTGATGCGAATGCAGTTTTGGAAGAAAACTGTGGAAGATATATACTGTGATAATCCACCACATCAGCCTGTGGCCATTGAACTATGGAAGGTAAAAACAACAGCAACAACCACTACTCTTAATTTGTAAGAATATTATTCGAGACTACGTTTTGATGGTTACAATTTGGATGCTGGTGATTATAGTGGAATCTATCCTGAAAATATTTTTAGGCTTGTATATTCAGATCTATGTTAGTTTTGGCAGAGAAGTTTAAAATTACCACTGATAATTTACACAGGTCTTTTGTGGATTTGGTTATTAAAGGAAAAAGGAAGAATCTGATAGCTATATAATAACTTACTTTTCTATTTTCCATATTTCCATATTTGCCTGCAGAATTTAAATCCCACACATTTTATGCAATGGCAGGTAAAATTTTCTGTTTTCTCTGCCTAGCAGGAGTTCCTTATACCGGTGTTTTAATCCAGATTCTGGGCTAGAACATGTGTTAATCCTTTGTGAAGGGAGACTTGCTCTCAGTGTTGTCCAGATACAAATCTAAAACTCTCTTGTCTAGGTGATAGGATTACCTATCCATTGTTGAGTTTTAGGTGTTAGAGAATGGAAACTATGGGCTAGAGTATTATTTATATAGCTAGATGTATATCATAAATGGTTTTATAGTAAAGCAGCTATATGGATTCCTCACTAATAAGCCGCCACACATGGCTTAGAAATATTCTAAACTGTGAGAGGAGGAAGGGAATTAGGTACCTTTCCTCACTGATCTGTGTCCCTGTTGTAATGCAATGATTGCCAAAAGAGGGTTTCTGTAACAGGAACCACCCACAGACCTGACAGTGGCACACCTCTTCTCAGGTCTACGTACCAGCAGAGGCAGGCCCAGTTTCTGGGCTCCAGATTGACTTCACAGACCCCCAGTAAAGATGGAAAGCCAGACACACCCAACCAGAGATTGAGAAGAAAAATTGGATGGGAAGCTGTGAGTATTAGATTAGTTCTTTACCTCTGTTCATCCCACTTCAAGAAGCTCAACCTAGGTGACACACTAAAAAGTTTCCCTGGCCGGGTGTGGTGGCTCACGCCTATAATCCCAACATTTTGGGAGGCCTAGGCAGGTAGATCACCTGAGGTCAGGAGTTTGAGACCAGCCTGACCAACATGGAGAAACCTCGTCTCTACTACGGATACAAAATTAGCCGGGCATGGTGGCGCATGCCTGTAATCCCAGCTACTTGGGAGGTTGAGGTAGGAGAATCGCTTGAACCTGGGAGGCAGAGGTTGTGACGAGCCAAGATCGTTCCATTGTTCTCCAGCCTGGGCAACAAGAGCGAAACTCCGTCTCAAAAAAAAAAAAGTTGCCCTAAAATCCAGAAACCCATTCTATTTATTATTTTACACATAAACGGAGTATAGTGGAGGTGTATGTTAAGACTTGCATAAAAGGTTTTGGCCTTTGTTGGGAAATATGTGGAAGATTAGAGAGTCCTTTGATGCAAATTTATCTTTCCTTGGCTTCTCTTAAAAAAACAGAAGATATACCTCAATTACAGAATGTTTACATCTGTGCCAGTTTAGGATTGCTAAGTTGTCCAATTTTAATAGCTGCTTACATTTGAATGGTTATTGTTGGCTAGCTTTCGGACGTTAGCAGAGTTGAAGCTTAATGTGAATATTTGAAAGACCCAGGTCTTGTTTAGTGCAGTTGTCCTTGTTGTGTGTTCTCTATCCTTCCCCATCCTGCTGGATCATATAGGGAATATTGGGCATTTGAAGCGTTGAGTTCTTGAGATTAAATAGAGGGAACAAGGCCGGGTGCGGTGGCTCAAGCCTGTAATCCCAGCACTTTGGGAGGCCGAGGCGGGTGGATCACGAGGTCAAGAGATCGAGAGATCAAGACCATCCTGGTCAACATGGTGAAACCCCGTCTCTACTAAAAATATAAAAACTTAGCTGGGCATGGTGGCGCGTGCCTGTAATCCCAGTTACTCAGGAGGCTGAGGCAGGAGAATTGCCTGAACCCAGGAGGCGGAGGTTGCGGTGAGCCGAGATCGCGCCATTGCACTCCAGCCTGGGTAACAAGAGCGAAACTCCGTCTCCAAAAAAAAAAAAAAAAATAGAGGGAACAGTGACAATGTGTTATCCAGAGAGCACTTTTCTACCGTACTGTTTCATTGGTATTTTTAGGGTACAAGATAGTTGAATATTTATAATTTCTTATGTATTCTACATGGGTTCCCCATTTCTCTGTATATGAATTTTAGCTGCAGTTTGAATTTATGTTTATAGCCAAGGTCTTTATTATATTGGACTTCAGTTTCCAGAGTTCAAACTACATTCAGCAAATTTCTAACTTCCTTAAAATATTTTTTTACCTTGGTCTCTGATTTCCTTCTGAATCAGAACTATATTATGTAATCAAGGATCGACAGCCATTATAGCTTCAGCCTTGAGTAAATAGGAGTTTGGCTTTTCATTGGATAAATACTTATTGAGTACTTTTATGTGCTAGAAATGGTGCTTGAAGTTCTACAAAATCAAAGTGCCCATCTGCTCAGACATATGTAAAATAAAACAAGAACAGGAATCCTTAATGACTCATCGGCTGATTCCTGGGATTTGGAAGAGAGGCCTATAGGGAGAGTGCTGCCATGTTTTAGTAGTAGGAGCAGAAGTAGGAGTAGTGCCGAAAACACTTTGGAACTAACACCATGCAACCCTTTTAGCATCTGTTTGATTCCTGCCAGGCAAAGGGGGCTTAATTATCCATGCATACACCTTTGTCATGTAATGCGTATTGATGAACATGCTGGCCTTTACATTTTACTATCAGTGACATCTGAGAGTCTTAGTTGAAGTATAGCATATCTCTAGATCTTATGTTTCATTTGTTTATTGTGAAAATATACTTAATGTTTACATGGCAGACAAGAAAATATTTTAGAAACTTACTTGGAAATAATTCCAAACTTGGGCCGGGCGCGGTGGCTCAAGCCTGTAATCCTAGCACTTTGGGAGGCCGAGGCGGGTGGATCACAAGTTCAAGAGATCGAGACCATCTTGGTCAACAAGCTGAAACCCTGTCTCTACTAAAAATACAAAAAATTAGCTGGGCATGGTGGCGTGTGCCTGTAATCCCAGCTACTCAGGAGGCTGAGACAGGAGAATTGCCTGAACCCAGGAGGTGGAGGTTGCGGTGAGCCAAGATCGTGCCATTGCACTCCAGCCTGGGTAACAAGAGTGAAACTCCATCTCAAAAAAAAAAAAAAAAAAAAAATTCCAAACTTTCAGAAACATTACAGAATTCAAAGCAGGACAAACACCTCTATACCCTTTACCTACATTCACCAGGCTGGAGTGTGATGGTGAATGATGCAAACATGGCTCACTGCAGCCTTGACCTCCTGAGCTCAGGCGATCCTCCTGCCTTAGCCTCCTAATTGGCTGGGACCACCAGCATGTGTCACCACATTTGGCTAATTAAAAAATTTTTTTTGTAGAGACGAGGTCTCACTGTGTTTCCTCACCTGGCTTCCTGGGCTCAGGCCATCCTCCCATCTGGCCTCCCAAAGTGTTGAGATTACAGGTGTGAGCCACTGTGCCTGGTTCACCTATTGTTAATATTTTATGCCATTTGTTTAATCATTTGTCCTCACTCACATGTGCACTTTCTCTTCTCCTCTCCTCCTTCCCCTATTCCCGCATATATATATTCACATTCATAATTTTTTCGTGTCATTCAATTGTAAGTTATATACATCGTAATCCTAACCTAAAAAATTTAGTGAATATTTTCTTTTTTTTTGGACACAGGGTCTCACTCTGTCATCAAGGCACAGTGGCACAGTCTTGGTTCACTGCAGCTTTGATCTCCCAGGCCTGAGTAGGTGGGACTACAGGCATGTGCTACCACATACGGCTGATTTTTAAAAAAATTTTTAGTACAGATGAGGTCTCATTGTGTTGCCCAGGCTGGTTTTGAACTCCTGAGCTCAAGTGATCCACTCACTTTGAGATTATAGGCGTGAGCCACCATGCCTGGCCTCAATAAATATTTTCTTTCTTTCTTTCTGTTTTTTGAGACAGGGTGTCACTCTGTTGCCCAGGCTGAAGTGCAGTGTCGTGATCTTGGCTCACTGCAATTTCCACCTCCTGGGCTCAAGCCATTCTCCTACCTCAGCTTCCCAAGTAGCTGGGACTACAGGCACCCACCACCACACCTGGCTAATTTTTTTTGTAGAAATGGGATTTTACCATGTTGCCCAGGCTGGTTTCAAACTCCTGAGCTCAAGCTGTCCTCTTGCCTTGTACCCCCAAAGTGCTGGGATTACAGGTATTAGCCACTGTGCCTGGCCTAATATTTTTTAAGAATAGTGATATTGTCTTACATATAATCAGAACAGTCATTTTTTTTATTTCTTTTTTTTTTTTTTTTCTAGAGACAGGAGCTTGCTGTGTTGCCCAGGCTAGAGTGCAGTGGGGTGATCATTGCTCGCTGCAACCTTGAATTCCTGGGCTTTATCCTCCTGCTTCAGCCTCCTGAGTAGCTGGAACTACAAGCACACACCAGCACGCTCAGCTAATTTCTAAAGTTTTTGTAGAGATGAGGTTGCTGTGTTGCCCAGGCTGGTCTTGAACTCCTCAACTCAAGTGATCCTCCTGCCTTGGCCTCCTAAAGTGCTAGGATTACAGGTGTGAGTCACTGTGCCTGGCCAAAACAGTTATTGGCTTTAGCAAATTTAACTTTGGTAGAACAATTTCATCTAATTTTCCATTCGTATTACAAATTTGTCAGATGACTTAATAATGTCCACGATATCATTTTTCCCTTCCAGTACAGGATCCAATCTTGGGTCAAGTACTTAATTGTCATGTTTCTGTAGTTTGTTTTAATCTGGAACATTTCCATAGCATTTTTTTTTAGCCTTTTATGACATTGACATTTTTTTTTTTTTTTTTTTTTGAGACGGAGTTTCGCTCTTGTTACCCAGGCTGGAGTGCAATGGCATGATCTCGGCTCACCGCAACCTCCGCCTCCTGGGTTCAAGCAATTCTCCTGCCTCAGCCTCCTGAGTAGCTGGGATTACAGGCACGTGCCGCCATGCCCAGCTAATTTTTTGTATTTTTAGTAGAGATGGGGTTTCACCATGTTGACCGGGATGGTCTCGATCTCTTGACCTCATGATCCACCCGCCTCGGCCTCCCAGAGTGCTGGGATTACAGGCTTGAGCCACCGTGCCCGGCCCGACATTGACATTTTTGAAGAGTATCCCCCCCAACCCTGTCTTTTTAAAATATGACACTAATTTTGGACTTGTCTGATGTTTTGTCATGATTAGATTGAGGTCACAGATTCTCAGCTGGAATCCATACTTCATAGGTCGTATATCCTTCTCAGCTTGTCACTTGTAGAGACACACTTCGTCCATCTGTCCTTTATGGCATGGTTAATTTCGATTTACTTAGTCACAATTTTGCCTGGTTTTCCCACGGTACAATTATGCTTGAAATAATCAACAATTTTTGAGGAGAGACTTTAAGACTGCAAATATCCTGCTCCTCATCAAAATTTCTCCCTAAACTTAGTAGCCATTAATGGTTCTTGTCTGATTCAGTCTTTACTCTTAGGTTGCAGAATGATAACTTCTCAACTGCAGCACTTGGTCCACATATACCAGTTGGCACTTAGTGTTCTGCTATAAGAATGAGCTCTTATTTTCATATATTTATTTGTTTATTAACTATTGGTACAGACTCATGGTTTCTTGCTTTTTATAGTTTATAATTCACTCATGTACTGATTTTGGTGTTCAGGTTGTCCCAGCTTCGGACGGTGGGAACTCCTTCACACTGGCTGCTACGTCCTTGTGACATGCTTCCATCATTTTTTTGGAGCACTTTCTTATTTTCTGGCACAATAAGATATTCTAGGATCTTCTTGAATCTCTCTCCTACCCCACCTTTGGAATCGCCCATTTCTCCACAGCCTTGATTCCTTTAAGGAGAATGGTGGTGGAGAAAGTGTCTGGGCACTAGATGTGCTCTTTCCTACTGGAGTGTCTTTACTTGCTAAAGTAACAGTTTACCGTGCAGGCTATTTTTGTTGGAGTTTTAGTCACTCTATTTTTCGAGAAGTGGTTATTTTTGCTAAGTAGAATCTTTATCCTGTGGAAAAAAATTTGCATGTAATGAGTAAGCATAGAAGTCAGGGTGGCTAGGCACAGTGGCTCATACCTATAATCCCAGCACTTTGGGAGGCTGAGGTGGGAGGATCATTTCAACCCAGAAGTTTAAGACCAGCAACATAGTGAGACCCTGTCTCTACAATTTAAAAAAAAAAAAAAAAAAAAAAGTCAGGGTATATCACGTAATAGAGAAGTTCAGTACTTAATGCTTAATTCTGGTTTTGTTTTTGTTTGAAAGTGGAATTGTTAAATTACTAGCAGTATAGGAAAAGAAGACAAGTTAGTAGAAAAGTATTAGAAATATAATCTTATAAATGTTTTAAAATGTTTTCTAAGGACATTTTCTTTTTCCCTGATATTTCTTGATATTTCTTTAACATAGCTGTCTATCTGGTGATGGGTTATTACAAATGTTCCCTTACTTAGTTTTGTATTTGGTTTGTTTATTTTGTTCAGATCTACAGAAGCCATTTCTAGTACTTTCTAAAAATTTATAACACTGTCTGTTTTTTAGGCTGTTAAAAGACATAATCTGACTAAAAGATGGCTTATGAACATCATTGATGAAAGAGTAAGTTGAAATTGTTCAAGTCTTAAGTTTTTGCTTCCTGTTTAATCCTGAAGCTAATTGTTCAGGAAGGAAATATTTTGATTGTATATGAATATTTTGGATAAAGGAAACTTTTAGAGAGCTATGCTATTTTATCCGTACTTTACCCTCTTATGCTACCCACATCAGCCCCCCAATACCCTCACATTGAGACAGACAGGCACCCAGACAGAGGCATCTGTATGCACAACCACAGTCCACTATTTTGGTTTTATGCTTACATGTATCTGTCACCAGCTTTAGTAGTTATCAGCACATTTCCAATCTCGTTTTATCTGTATTCTGCCAACTCCCCTTACTAATCTGCATTGGATTATTTTAAAGAAAATCCAGATATCTTATCATTTGATCTGCAAATGCATATGTATCTTAAAAAGACAATGACAAAAAAAACATAAGCATAATATGATTATCATACCTTAAACATTACTAATTGTTCCCTAACATGATCAAATACCTTTATGTATACCCAAGTACTTGGATCTGTGTCTAAATAGTAGAGGGCATAAAGAAAGTCTGACAGTTCCAGTGAATGGAATCCTGTACTAAATTCTTAGAACTGAGTTCTAGGTCCAGCCAAGTCAGTGAATTGCTGTGTGACCTGGCCTAACTTGTGTGATCTTTCTAATGTACTGTTAGGTCAGTGTTCCCCTTGGCCTGATATTAATCACATACTATTGTCATGGAAATGTAAGTTTACTTAGCTTATTTAGATACAGTTTGCTAACTATAGTCTATAGCAATAGTAAGCCAAAAGAGATGTTAGCTAAGAAGACCTATTTTCAGGTGTCTTCATTCCTTTTTTTTTTTTTTTCAAAGTAAAGAAAATGAGAGAACTCAAGACAGAGATGCCATTTTAGTTTAATGAAAAATAACATTTGGCTTTTGAAGGGGAGATATTTAAAAGTAAAGTACTGTGAATAAACATTGATCTATAGATTCAATGCGATCCTTATCAAAATTCCAGCTTTCTTTTTTGCAGATATTGACAGACTGGTCCAAAAATTTATGTGGAAATGCAAGGGACCCAGAAGAGCCAGAATAATCTTAACAAAGAAGAACAAAGTTAGAGGGCTCACGTTTCCTGATTTCAAAACTTAACTACAAAAACTTAGCTACAGTCATAAAATTGTGTATTCCTGATATAGGGTAGACAGGTAGATCAATAGAATAGAAATGAGAGTCCTGGAAACCATCATTCTCAGCAAACTGACACAAGAACAGAAAATCAAATACTGCATGTTCTCACTCATAGGCAGGTGTTGAACAATGAGAACACATGGACACAGGGAGGGGAACATCACACACTGGGGTCTGTCGGGGGGGAAATAGGGGAGGGACAGCGGGGGTGGGTGGGGAGTTGGAGGGAGATAGCATGGAGAGAAATGCCAGATATAGGTGATGGGGAGGAAGGCAGCAAATCACACTGCCATGTGTGTACCTATGCAACAATCTTGCCTGTTCTTCACATGTACCCCAAAACCTAAAAGGCAATTAAAGAAAAAAAAAACAAAAGAAATGAGAATCCAGATATAAATCCATGTATTTATATTCAATTGAGGAACAAGGGTATCAAGACAGTTCCATGGGGAAAGAACAGTCTTTTCAACAAATGGTACTGGGGCAAATGGATACCCCTTGCAAAAGAATAAGTTTGAACCCCTGCCTCATACCATATACAAAAATGAACTCAAACTAGATTAGATTAAAGACCAAAATGTAAGAGTTAAAACTGTGAAACTCTTAGGAAAAAACATAGGTGTAAATCTTAGTGATTTTTAGGTTAGTCAGGGGTTTCTTAGATGTGATACCAAAGGCAGAAGCAAGAAAAGAAAAAATAGATAAATTGGACTGAAAGAAAAAAATTATTTAACAGTTATATATTTGATAAGGGACTATTATCTAAAATATACAAGAAACTCTTACAACTCAACAATTTAAAAAAACCCCAATTTAAAAATGGGTAAAGGATTTGAGTAGACATTTCTCCAAATAAGGCGTACAAATGACCAATAAGCATCTGAAAAGATGTTTAACATCTTTTCATTAAGAGAAATGCAAATCAAAACAAAGAAGCATCACAGCTGTTACAATGACTGTGATTTAAAAAAAAAAAAGATGCACAGTAACAAGTATTGGTGAGAATGGGGAGACGTTAAAACTCTTCAGACGTTACTGATGGGAATGTGAAATGGTGCAACTGCTCTGAAAAAACAGTTTGGCAATTTTTTCTTCAAAGAGTTAAACACAGAATTATCATAGACCCAAAAATTCTACCCCTAGGTTTGTACCCAAGAGAAATGAAAACATACGTCCACACAGAACTTGTACATGAATGTTTGTAGCAGCATTATTCATGATAGCACAAAAGTAGAAAGAACTCAGTCTGTTAATTAGTTGTTAAACAAAATGTTGTGTATCCATATGATGGAATATTATTCATAATTTATTCAACTAAAGAATGAAGTACTAATAGATGATTGAACCTTGAAAACATTATGCTAATGCTAATTGAAAGAAGCCAGACACAAAAAGCAACATATTGTATGATTCCATTTTTATGAAATGCCCAGAATAGACAAATCCATGAAGACAGAAAGTAGATTAGTGGTTTGCCAGGGCTGAGGGGAGGGAGAAATGGCAAGTACTTGCTTAATGGATACAAGTTTTCTTTTCGGGGGGGATCCTTAAAATATTCTGGAATTAGATAGTAGTGATAGTTGCACAACTTTGTGTACATACTAAAAACCAATGAATTGTATTAAAGGGATAAATTTAATGGTATGTTAATCTCAATTTTTAGAAAAACATAAAGGATACATTTTAATTTTTTCCTGGAATCATTGCTGGTGTCAGTTTCTTTTCTTTCTCGCTCTCTCTTTTTTTTTTTTTTTTTTTTTTTTTGAGAGACAGTGTCTTGCCCTGTTGCCCAGGCTGGAGTGCAATGGCGTGATCTTGGCTCACTGTAACCTCCCCCTCCCAGGTTCAAGCAGTTCTCCTGCCTTAACCTCTTGAGTAGCTGGGATTACTAGTTAAAGTTAGCCATGGTGCCACCACACCCAGCTAATTTTTTTTTGTAATTTTAGTAGAGATAGGGTTTCACCATGTTGGTCAGGCTGGTCTCAAACTCCTGACCTCATGATCCGCCAGCCTCAGCCTCCCAAAGTGCTGAGATTACAGACATGAGCCACTGCACCTGGCCTCTCTTTTTTGTTTTGTTTTTTAATTTTTAATCTTGCATGTAGCATTTGATGCTGGTGTGTTTCTTTTGATTTTTAAAGAGGGTGAAATAGGGGATAATATTTTGCTCTAATAGTCTTCATAAATGTATTATTATGAAAGTGGCTAAGTGTTCTTGCTGTTAGATTCTCATTTTTCTATTTATTGAATATAGTGTTTTTAGGGAATCAACCCTGTTATTTTTTTGAGCATGGTTTTATTTTGGGGAATGGGGTGGGCACTGTTTTCTGTTTTCTTTTTCTAGGTACCTTTTCCTTATTAAGCACGTAGATTCAAGAGTCAAATGTGTGGGTTCCCATCCCCACCGTTTATTTATTAACTGTGTGTGTTGGGACATGTTATTTAGTGTGTCTATGCCTCAGTTTCTTCATTTATAAAATGGGAAAAGTATTAATTCCTTATCTCTTGGTGGGGGGGGGGGTGTTGTTTAGGTTAAGAAGATAAGGTCTAAAATGCTTAAGAGCTCAGTAAAGTTGATTTTGATAACATGGGCTTTAGATAAAATTTTTTAAAAATGCCTTGTCCCTGGTGATTTGTACATTGAGATTATTCCTGGTGTCTTATTTTGAGATGGTGATTTGAAAGTATTGAATGTGTAGAACTTTAATTTTCATGTTTTATTTTATTATGTACTAAATAACATACACTAAATTTTTTTTGGTTATTATTCAGTTCTTTGGTGCAAAAAATAGCACCTTTTCTTTATAAAATACTGACCATTCAATAGACTTCATTTGCATTTTATTTGATGTAGGAAAAAAATCTAGATGACAAAGCATATCGTAACATCAAGGAACTAGAAAATTATGCTGAAAACACACAGTGCTGTCTTCTTTACTTAACACTAGAAATATTGGGTAAGTTGTTTTTTTTTGTTTCATACTTCTTTTTTCCAATAAAACACCGTTGAGATTTCACTTTTTCATAATGCGGTAAGCTAACCAGTTGAGCACTCAAGTCTTTCTTTGTACTATCTAAAGGAACAGGTTTTGTTTTTGTTTTTTTTTGTTGTTGTTAGCAAGACAAGGGAATTTATATCTCTTTCTTTGTCATGCAGAGTAATCCAAGACTCAGGCTCTCATACAGCTACTTTAGCTACCTCATGGAAATGCTGAAATTAATAATCGGGTAATTGCAGGTGGCTTTACTTTTTTACTATAGCATCTCCTGCTATTTGGAAGGCCTATAGCCTGACTCTTCCTTTCCTGTTAATAACACTTCCCCATGGAAAAAGAAAAGTAGAAGTAAAACTGCATTTTAAAAAGTTTTTGAGACTTTTCTTTCTCTGCTCCTTTAAAAACAAAATTTGAATGGCAGGATTTCTCCTCTGACTTTGTTGCCAGTTAGTGAGGTCTTATTGAAATGAGGAAATTATTTGGGCCAAGGACAATATCTTCTCATTTGAAGAAGGTAATATATGTCTTTATACCTCCCTCAAAGAATAATACAAGTCCCCATTGCATGTCCAAGGCCTGTTCTGGCCTGCAGCTCTGTTGACATGTTTGCCATCACAGTGAAAGGACGGAGCAAAGAGCAGAATGTTTGTTAAGCATATTCTTAAAATGAGGTCATATGGAAATTGCACAGAGGAGAAGAAACGGAAGACTTGTAAAGATTTTCCATGAGAGCTGATTAAAATTCTAAATGTGTTCTTGCTGTGCTGTAGTCTGAGGAAAACTCTTATTTAAAAGTTGAGATTGAGATTTAGATATCTGCTAGTGGTAAATGGTCAACTTGTTTTTGTGCCCAGTTTTTCACTCATAAATCCTGTTTTTCAGATATAAAACATAGGATAAACATCTAGTTTTACATGTTTAGGTGATTTATCTATGCCATTTCTATTGATTTATTATGCACTTAAATAGAGCAGCCCTGTATAATTTCTGAAATCATAGGTATAAAGGATCTTCATGCAGATCATGCTGCAAGTCATATTGGAAAAGCACAAGGCATTGTCACTTGCTTGAGAGCAACACCATATCATGTGAGCAGAAGAAAGGTGTTCCTTCCCATGGATATTTGTATGCTGGTAAGGTTATAATTTGCACCTTCGAATAATTTTACCTCAGGAATATGGGGAGGGAAGTCATCTCTTACTTTGTTGCTTAGTCTATTCAAGTAATTGCTTTGAAAGGAATGCTTATTTACTGAAAATGGTCTTCCTCTTTTTATCCCAGAGTTATCAAGTCAGAATTGTGTCCATCAGGCATTTTAGATCTCTGGAGGAGCTATGAGTAGGAAGGTCCAGAGAACCTCATTTGGTGTAGATTCGTGTTGATGCCATGCTCCTTTCCAAGCAATTGCAGTAATTATTCCTAGTGTTCACCTTAGCCTGTTCTTTATTTTATTCTATTGGAAGTAATCCATTTTAAGTGTATGCTTATGAGAACTTTGTTTTCTTTTTTTTTTTTTGAGATGGAGTCTCACTCTGTCGCCCAGGCTGGAGGAGTGCAGTGTCTCAATCTTGGCTCACTGCAACCTCCACCTCCCAGGTTCAGGTGATTCTACTGCCTCAGCCTCCCGAGTAGCTGGGACTACAGGCTCATGCCACCATGCCTGATTAATTTTTTTATTTTTAGTAGAGACGGGGTTTCACTCTTTAGCCAGGATGGTCTCAATCTCCTGACCTCCACTCAACCTTGGCCTCCCAAAGTGCTAGGAGTACAGGCATGAGCCACAGCGCCCAGCAAGAACTTTGTTTTTAATATGAGATTCATTATTATCTGTTCTTTCAAACTTTTTCTATGTTTGTTTTCTTGCTTGTATGTTTTCATTCTACCTATAACTTGTTAATTAACAACTTGTTGTAGCCAGGCTTGGTGACTCATGCCTGTAATCCCAGCACTTTGGGAGGGTCACTTGAGCCCAGGAGGTTGAGACCAGCCTGGGCAATATGGCAAAACGCCATCTCTGCAAAAAATACAAAAATTAGCTGGGTGTGTTGGTGCACACCTATAGTCCCAGCTACTTGGGAGGCTAAGGTGGGAGGATACCTTGAGCCTGGGAAGTTGGACTATAATGAGCCATGATTGTACCACTGTACTCCAGCCTGGGTGACAGAGTGAGACCCTGTCTCAAAAAACAAAAAATCTTATTGCATGTTCCAGGTGTCTCTCTCATTCTCGTTTTCTCTCTACACGCATGCACACACACATACACATTTTAAAAGACAAAATAGGCATTAAACTGTACATACTCTTCTGTCAGTTATTTTCTTGTGCTAAGTTAGTTTTAATTGTGCTTTTAGATTCCTAAAATAATGTATATTTCCCTACACAGCATGGTGTTTCACAAGAGGACTTTCTACGGAGGAACCAAGATAAAAATGTGAGAGATGTAATATATGACATTGCCAGTCAGGCACACTTGCACCTTAAACATGTAAGTAGGCTTTTTTTGGCCAAATCATTTAGGGAAAAATCATTTCGAGATGTGGCTATTCTTAGAACATGGTTATAATATTCCCAACTTGGTAGTCTTTTATTCCATTCTTCATTGATTTCCCAGTAGATTTATTTGAGTCTGTTGTAAACTTTTCTCACCTAAAAAAGTTCCTCCCCACACCTTATAGCACATAATTGCATCCTTTACTGAGTTAATCAAGCCTGTGCTTCTCATGTGGCTCCTCTGTGCTCCATCCGGTTCTCTCTTGGAAGAGAGGGTGTCTTTCTGCCTTCCAAGGCCGATGCCTCTCCTCCCCTTCCCAGGGGCTGCATCGTCAGTAACTCCCAGCTGGTGTTTTCAGTTTGCTTCTGTGACATGTGGCCTCTTTTATCTTCTGGTTTGTTGTGCTGCCTTCTGAATTTACAGGCAGCCTGTGAATCCTTCTGTTGGTACCTTTCTCTCCTTCCTTCCCTGTGGGAAGGAAGTGTTCTGCATTCACTGTTACCTCAGGCCCTTACCACCTTGGTAGTGCTCATCATGCTATGATTTGACTTGTATCCTGCCCACTCTAATAAACAATCACTAGTAAATACTCTCCTTATTACCAGATTTAATGGTCATTTACAACTCGTTTTCGTGAACTCTTCTTTTTTTTCTTTTTTGAGATGGAGTCTCGCTCTGTCGCCTAGGCTGGAGTGCAGTGGCGCGATCTCAGCTCACTGCAACCTCTATCTGCCGGATTCAAGCAATTCTCCTGCCTCAGCCTTCTGAGTAGCTGAGACTACAGGTGCATGCCACCATGCCAGCTAATTTTTTTGCATTTTTAGTAGAGATGGGGTTTTACCATGTTAGCCAGGTTGGTCTTCTTTTTTGACAGCATAGACACCTTTCTCTCTGTGTCACTTTCTGACTTTTCTTCCATTGCTTCTCTGACGTGACTCCAGAACTAACTCCTGATTTCTCCTGCCTGTCACTTTAGTTGTTCTCTAAGAGTTAGTTCTTCGTCTCTTAAACTTCTCCAAGACTTTTGTTTGGAATTTGGCATTGTTAACTATACTTGCCTTTCTTGAAACTGTCATTCATCTCTACGGTGTTATTCCTTTCTGGTTCTCATTAAAGTGTTTCCTAATTTCAGTGGCTCTTGAAGACTTGGTAGAAATTTTCTATTCCTTAGGTCCCATAATGCTAATTTTTCCTAGTACTTCTTGTTACCCCTCCACTTTTTTTTTTTTTCACATCTTCAGTAGATTCTAAAGAGTTGGACACTCACCTGCCTACCACAAGGGTTTTACACTTGCTGTTTTTCCTGCTTTTTCCCCTCTACCCCACCTCCATTTGAGTTAGTACTCAAATATCACCGTATCAGAAAAGCTTCCGTGGTCACCTTACCTAAAATAACATCTTCCTTTTCCATCACCCTCAGTCTCCTTAATTGGCTTAGCACTTTTCACCACCTGACATTAAAAGTTTGCTTATTGGCCGGGCGCAGTGGCTCACACCTGTAATCCCAGCACTTTGGGAGGCTGAGGCAGGTAGATCATGAGGACAGGAGATCGAGACCATCCTGGCTAACACGGTGAAACCCCTTCTCTACTAAAAATACAAAAAATTAACCTGGCCCACGTGGTGACATGCACCTGTAGTCCCAGCTACTTGGGAGGCTGAGGCAGGAGAATTGCTTGAACATGGGAGGTGGAGGTTTCAGTGAGCTGAGGTTGCGTCACTGTACTCCAGCCTGGGTGACAGAGTGAGACTCCATCTCAATAAAAAAAAAGTTTGCTTATTGCCTCCCCACTTCATTGGAATGTGACTTTGATTCTGTGCTATATTCTTCATCATCTAAAGTACCTGATTACATTATAAGCATTCAGTTAATATTAAATACATAAGTAATCAGAATATAAGCTCTTTGAGGGCAAAGACTCTATCTTCAGCTTTTTAAAATTTCCTGACTATCTAACAGTTCTCTTCCCTGACAGAGGTATAGATAAAATACATGGAACTTTAGATGAGAAATTAGGACTAGCTAGCAGAGTTTTGGGTAAGATCTGAGCACACTACAGAATCATGAGAGGCAGGAAAGCCTTGGACTTGTGTGGAACCTGAGCAATCCCAGTCAAAGGACATGTAAGGCACCTGAGAAATACAGATTCCCTGGCCTCACTCCTTGGAGATTGGGGCAGTAAACCTGGGATGGGGCCAGTAATTCAAATTTCCAAATAATTTTAAACAGCCAGGTTTGAACACCATTGGTATATAGGTAATGTGGTCCTGGAAGATAGGTTTGGAATGTGGATTAAAGAAAGATTATGGAGTTATAGAGGCTTTTGAGAGGCATTAGAGTATTGTGGATGAGAGTGCAAACTCTGGAACCAGAAGCCTGACTTTATTTTTTTTTTTTTTTTTTTTATTTTTTTTTTTTGAGACGGAGTTTCGCTCTTGTTAACCCAGGCTGGAGTGCAATGGCACGATCTCGGCTCACCGCAACCTCCGCCTCCTGGGTTCAGGCAATTCTCCTGCCTCAGCCTCCTGAGTAGCTGGGATTACAGGCACACGCCACCATGCCCAGCTAATTTTTTGTATTTTTAGTAGAGACGGGGTTTCACCATGTTGACCAGGCTGGTCTCGATCTCTTGACCTCGTGATCCACCCGCCTCGGCCTCCCAAAGTGCTGGGATTACAGGCTTGAGCCACCGCGCCCGGCCATGAAGCCTGACTTTAAATCCTAATTCTGCCATTTACTAATCATGTAATCTTATCCTCTCTGTGCTTCAGTTTCTTCCTCTGTAGTAGAGGATCATTTTAGCACCTAGCTTAAATGATCTAACTGATTTGGATAAATGAGTTAACATATTTGAAGAGTTTATAATGTAGTGCAGCATATTGTAAGTGAAATATGTTAGTTTTCATCATCATCATCATCAAATAAAAGTGATATTAGTGTTGCAGAGTAGGAAACCCTGCTAGCAGTGTTTGAGACAAGAGAGTTTAGAGGTTGGGTGATCAGTTAGGAGACTTAGGAGAGGGAGAAAGAATGTCTGATTTCGAGACAATAGATGTGTATGTACGTTTATATGTATGTATACACACATGCACACAAATAACTGAAGTAGCATTAACTAGGCTTGATAACTAATTGGATTGTGGCAAGATCAGGTGGAGGGAAAGTTGAAGGCTGCATGAAGAATTCAAGTATGGCACTTTGATGGTGCCATTCAAAAGCTACGGTAATACCAGAAACAAACTAATGGTATGTTTGGTGCGGCTCATTAGACTTTGGACCAGCTGCTGAACATAATTGAATTTAAGGGGATTAGAGGACATTTAGGGAGATGGGCTATTGAAGAATGCAGAACTGTGACTTTTAAAGGAAGTCAGGACTAAAGATGATATATTTGGGAGTCATCCACATAAAAGGCTTATAATTAAAGCTCTAAGTTTGGATGGGGTTGCTGAAGGAGAATGTATAGAAGGCCAGGGGCAGAACCCTGAGGCCCACCTCCATTTACAAGGTAAAAGGAGAAAGGGCTGTTTATTAGGAAGAAGGAGAAGGAAAGAATCTTCATAGAAATAAAACTGAGAACCAGTTTCTTGAAAATCAAGGGAGGAGAAGATTTAAGAAAGAGGAATATCAGAGTTTTACATGCTACAGAAAACTGAAGAGAAAAGATAGCTGTGGTGATTAGTAAATCATAGATGATTGTAGAGTAATTTTAGTTGATGGTTGGAGTCAAACTGGAATGTAATGAGTTAAGAAGTGAGTCAGGAAGTAGAGGGCTCTTCCTGGTGTTACGGACCATATAAATGAAGACATGGAGACAAGAGTGGGTTTGGCGAACACAGGATGATGGATAACAGCCTGAGAGACCAGGTGTTCGTAGCCCAGAGTGGTAGGGAGTTAGGTTTGATAGACGAGATTAGAGTCAAGATATGGAGGCCTTTGAATTCCAGGATGAATAGTTTAAACTTGACCAATCAGGGAATTAAAGAAGGTAAAAATGAAATGATGATGTAAGGACATTAACTTGTCTGGCTGTGTAGAATGAATTAACGGTCAGGGAACACAGGCAGGAAGATGACCTAGGAGGATCTTAGTCATTTAAACAGGAGATCATGTCAGTCTACGCTAGGGGTGCATGAGACTTAATATTGCAAATATTTCTTTGTTTTCCCCTTACCACAGGGCTGGGGAGTCAAAGTTATTATGAGATACTGTAAGGTAGCTGGCAGATGCTAAAGCCAATTTGAAAGAAAGGATGGAATTTTTAATAGAGTAGTTACTTTTTCCTGAGTCTTTTAGGCTTAGAAAACTAATCTGAATCTGCAGGAGATGAGTTGTTTTCTTGCATTTGAGAGAGGCCCTATCAGTATTGTTAAACTGCTGGTGTTGCTTTCAGAGGGAGAGTGTTTATTTGCTTAATTTTAAACCAGCTTCCTTTCCTCTTTCTTTTTAGGCTAGGTCCTTTCACAAAAGTGTTCCTGTGAAAGCATTTCCTGCTTTTCTTCAAACGGTAAGTAGATTAACAGAGAAGGCCGTATAATTAGTGAAACAGATGTGTATGATCTGTTTTTACTTTTTATAAAGTTCCCAATGTATTTCTTTAGTTTGGAGCCTTCGTTTTTGTTTCCCTCCCTCATGGTAGCTTTCATTAGTTACTAATGCTTTTGCTGAGGGTGATTTCTGTATTTCTCAGAGGCAGGTGAGCTAAGATTTTAGCACTGACTTTGCAGCCAGATTGCATTGGCTTGAATCTGGTTTGCCCCTTACTACCAATGGGACTTAAAGTCTTTTTTTCTTCAGTATAAAAGTTTACTTACCTGTGTTTTCTTTGGGGTGTTTAATGCATATTTTCTGATGAGATTCATGGAGAGGTTGGGGATCCCTTATCCAAAATACATGGGACCAGAGTGTTTCATATTTCAGATATTTTTTGGGTTTTGGAATATTTGCATCTACATAATAAAGTATCTTGGGGACAGGACCCAAATTTAAACACAAACTTCTTTTCTGTTTCATATATACATTACACGCATAGCCTGAAAATAATTTTATGCAATATATATATATTTTTTGTTATTGTATTTGGGCTCTGGGGTACATGTACACATCCTGCATCCTGCAGGATTGTTGCATAGGTATATACATGCCATGGTGGTTTGCTGTCTCCATTCCCTGCCACAACCGGTCGCCTACATCAGGCATTTCTCCCAGTGTTATCCCTCCCCATTCTCTCGCCAACCCCCCACCTTAAGTTCTTAATCACCGCATTCCTCAGTTTACTCATAGGTGAAATGGGAATAATGGGAGAAACTACCTTGTAGGGTTGTTAGGCTGCTTGTAGCTATGTAAGTATTACTATTCTGTTCACTTTTTTCTCCGTTGTGACCTGACCATATTGTAGCACTGGTTCCAGAACAGTGGTTCATAGCCCACTCCTAAGCTGGTTGCAGGGGGCTAACCTGGAAAACTTTTTTAAAATATAAATTCCTGGAGTCTTCTTACTAATAAGACTTTTGGGATTGAGGAGGAGGAGACCAGCTCCTAGGAGAATCTGAGTTTAAAAAGTTCCCCAGGTGATTCTGATGTATAGACAGGTTTGGGAACTGTTGTTCTAAAACATATAGAGAAATCATAACTGCTACCAAATACTTAGCACCTTTTATGAGACAGGCCTTGGGTTAGGTCTTTCCGTCATTATTCCTAGTCTTCCTATCAAAAATACGGTTACTTCCTTTTGTTTTTGAGACGGAGTTTCACTCTTGTTACTCAGGCTGGAGTGCAATGGTGTGATCTCGGCTCACTGTGACCTCTGCCTCCTGAGTTCAGGCTATTCTCCTGCCTCAGCCTCCCGAGTAGCTGGGATTACAGGCACGCGCCACCATGCCCAGCTAATTTTTGTATTTTTAGTAGAGACGGGGTTTCACCATGTTGACCAGGATGGTCTCGATCTCTTGACCTCGTGATCCACCTGCCTCGGCCTCCCAAAGTGCTGGGATTACAGGCTTGAGCCACCGCGCCCGGCCTGGTTACTTCCTTTTATAGATAGAAACCAAGGTTCAAAGATTTGAAATCTTTGAAAAGTGTAAACTTACACATTTTTTATAATACCAAACGTATCTTCTACCTTTTTCTATTGAGAGATTCATTTCGATCTCTTCACATCCTCTATCTTAGTTTCAGGTCTGTGTGTTTGAAATAATTTTGTTTCTTTATTGGGTTTGCTAATAATGAAAGTAGTCCATTAATATTTTAAATGTTCCTAGTGTAAAAGAATACAAAAGAAGAAATTAGAGCTCTCACAATTCCATCCTATCTAGAGATAATGTCTGTTCATCTTTCTGAACCTTTCATATTCATATAACCATGCATGTATTTTGTGTATTATTCTGTATCATCCTGTTTAGTGGTTATTTGATGGATATGCCATCACCTGTTTAACGTATTAAGTAAGCTTCGTGAAGGTTAAGGACTTTGTTTATTAACTTCTGTGAAAAAGGTTGTTCTCAATCCTGGCTGCCTATTACAATCACTTGGAGAGCCTTAAAAAATCTAAACAATGCTCTGCCACCCTGCCCCAGACCAATTAAATTGGTGGACCCAGGTGTTGATATTTTTAAAAATCTTTCCCTTTACTTTTTTTTGAGGGGGGAGACAGAGTCTCACTCCATCGCCCAGGCTAGAGTGCAGTGGTATGGTCTTGGCTCACTGCAGCCTCTGCCTCCCGGGTTCAAGTGATTCTCTTGCCTCAGCCTCCCAAGTAGCTGGGATTACAGATTTGCACCACCACACCCAGCTAATTTTTTTTGTATTTTTAGCAGAGACACGGTTTAGCCATGTTGGCCAGGCTGGTCTTGAACTCCTGGCCTCAAGTGATCTCCCACCTTGACCTCCCAAAGTGCTAGGATTATGGGTGTGAGCCACGGTACCTGGCCCTTTTTTTTTTTAAAGACAAAATTTCACTCTGTTGCCCAGGTTGGAGTGCTGTGGCGGAGCTAATTAGGAATTCCTTTTGGAAGAGGTAGAATCTCACTCTGTTATCCAGGCTGATTTTGAACTCCTGGACTCAAGCAATCTTCCAACCTTGGCTTCTCAGAGTGTTGGTATTACAGGCATAAGACACCGTGCCCAGCCTCCTTTAGTTTTAACTGTGAAGTGCAGCTAGGCCTAAAAACCACTATCATAGACCAGTGTTTCCCAAAATGTGGTCCCTGGATCAGCAATATCCTCCTCACTGGGGAACTTGTTAGAAATGCGGATCTTGGGCTCCACCACAGACCTACTGAATCAGAAACTCTGAGGCTGGAGCCCAGTTCTCAACATTTTATTTTTTGAGACAGAGTCTTGCTCTGTTGCTCAGGCTGGAGTGCAGTGGCATGATCTTGGCTCCCTACATTCTCTGCCTCCTGGGTTCAAGCGATTCTCCTGCCTCAGCCTCCCAAGTAGCTAGGATTTGTATTTTTTTTTGTATTTTTTGTAGAGGAGGGGTTTTGCCATGTTGGCCAGGCTGGTCTCGAATGCCTGACCTCAGGTGATCTGCCTGCCTTGGCCTCCCACAGTGCTGGGATTACAGGTGTGAGCCACCACGCCCAGCCCCAGCTCTCAGTTTCTATCCTGTGCCAAGAGAGACTAGAGGGGCAACATAGCAGTTGCTGAGGAACTGCTTTTTGTCATATACCCTCATTCCAGCTTGGACAGGGCTTTTACTTGTTTCATATATGGGGCATCTGTTAATTATTTTGTTCAAAGAAAGGATTTGCAGTTTAAAAACTCTTTGAACATGACTAGTGTAGGTATAGTATATTCTTCATAGATGAGGTTTCCAGAATTCATATTTAGAAATTTGTAATGTCTTTGAGAGTTTCACCATCAATTTGTTACTCAGTTTATTTACCATTAGCCAGACTTTCCTTTGAACAAAAGACTGATGTATAAATATCCATTTGAGCTCTGTCTAATTTTGAGGTCACATTTCCTCTGTATTTTAATGGAATTTTCTCCTAATCCTAAAAGCAATACATTTTCATAGTAAAGATTTGGACAATATAAGCAGTATTAGAAGAAAATAGCAATCACCCATGCTTGCTTCGGCAGCATATATACTAAAATTGGAATGATACAGAGAAGATTAGCATGGCCCCTGCGCAAGGATGACATGCAAATTCATGAAGCATTCCATTAAAAAAAAATCACCTATAATTCTAACACTCAAAGATAACTGCTAGTCATTCTAGGGTTTTTAGAAATGAATTTTTGTGTATAGTTGAAATTACACTTCATATGTTAGTGCATTGTTTATTGAGCATTTTTTGGACTCATTTAAAAAATTATAAAAATAACACTTAATGGCTATATAATCTATTGTGTCTGTAACTTAATTTTGTTAACTGTTATAATTAGATATCATAAAGCTATTAAAGTTAACATAATTCTTACAGGTGGCAAGTCGATCACAGTATATTAAGGGATTAAAAAGTAAGTTACAGCACATCAAATAGCATGAGCTCCTTTATGCAAAAAAACGGAGCATCTGAAAGGAAGTAGACTAAAATATTTTCAAAACAGGAACATGTGACAGAAAGTACACAGAAATATTTTCCAAGTTTTTTCTTTTAATCTCTTTTAAAATTGTTAATACTCGCTATATATTCAATGAATATGTCTGTCTATGTGTATATATTGCAATGTAGAGCATAATAAACACCCATGAACTCACCACTCAATCCAGGAACTAGCATGTCACCATTAAATTGGACTCATGTTTCTCCCATCTCATCCCCCGCCACTGTCTTCCTCTTTCAGGTAGCTCTCCTCAATTTTATGTGTGTTATTTCCTTGTTTTTATTCCAAGAAGGCTTTTATCATTTTATATATTCCTGAACAACATATTGCTAAGTTTTGTTTTTGAGCTTTATAAAAAAGGATCATTTTCTATTTATGTCTTCTAGGACATGTGCACACTCTTCATGTTTCTGAGATTTGGGCATATTACTGCATCTAGCTATAGTACATTCACTTCACTGCAGTATAATATTAATATTTCATTGTACAATCTATTCGTCTTTTTTTCCAATAATTTCTGGATTCTTTTTTTTTGAGATGGGTCTCTGTCGCTCAGGCTAGAGTGCAGGCTCACTGCAAGGCTTGACCTCCCAGCCACAAGCCATCCTCCCACCTCAGCCTCCTAAGTAGCTGGGGCCACAGGCATGCATCACCACACTCAGCTAATTGTTTTTGTGTTTTTTGTAGAGATGGGGTTTTGCCATGTTGCCCAGCTTGGTATTAACTCTTAAACTCAAGCAGTCCACCTGCCTTGGTCTTCCAAAGTGTTGGGATTATAGGTGTGAGCCACCACACCTGGTCTCTGGATTGTTTCTAAGTTTCTTGCTAATCTAAAACAAGGCAGCTGGGCACATTGATGCATATATCTCCTGTCATCTATGTATGTACGTTTAGGGTTTTAAAAAGTAGATAATGAATTTGTTTATGTTTCACTTATATTTATAAAATTATAGAAAAAAGTCTGGAAGAAAATATTTTTGTTTTCTTTGTTCTCATCTGCATATTTTAAAGAATCTATAGACATAATCACTGCATTGATTACCCAGGTTCTGTGCTACAGAACTCTAGGGGGCGCTGTTCATGTGGACTGAGGCGGTCTGGTGACTCAGAAAAGTGGAGTACAAAACTATGTGACCTGCCTATTTAACAAAAATCTGATTAAACTAAAATGAAAATTTATAAATTAATCAAGACAATTGAAAACTGAAAGTAAAGATAGTGCACTTCGTTGGTATTTTTTATCCTGCTGCAATCCTTGTAAAAACTGTCAAGTTTCTTGTGGTGAGAGAGGGATGGGGTGATAGTTATAGAGACCTGTGATAATTTTGCCTGGTTGAAAATCATGTGCTCTGGCAACAACGGGGAGACCTGTTCGATCTCTTTACAAAATAATTTTTTTTAAAGGCATCTTGAGCTCCCCCTCATGGTACACTACATTTGGGGGTTTGGGGTGGGGATGTTTCATTTTCCCTGATTGAAACAGCCTTTTTCCATTCCACTGAATCTAGTAATAAGGCCAAGCAAACATGGTTTTGCTAATCCTTTATATCTTGATCAAAGCTTTATATATTATGAGCAGAAGAGGCTTAGTTTTTCTGGTACTAGCTCCTTGACACCCTTTTACTGGTCTAATAGAAACTTCTTAGATGTCTTTTTATTTTCTTTCTCTCTTTAAAAATTCTGACTTAAATTCTTATTATATAGAAGACCATCTTGGAAAATAAAATAGCCTAAATACTTGTAATTATTCTTTAGTTTTTTTTTTTGTTTTTTTTTTTTTTTAAGATTTGATCATTTTATGATCTGACGATCACTTTCTCTTTTTTCCAGGTTTCTCTAGAGAACTTTCTAAAGAAAATTCAGCGAGTAGATTTTGATATATTCCACCCATCTTTACAGCAGAAGAATTCATTACTTCCATTATATTTGTATATTCAATCATGGAGAAAAATATATTAAAATAATTCACGGCACTGATGTTAATTCTAGTCTGTTGGTTTTATAAAAGTTAGGGTTCTTATTTAGGAACAACAGGAAGTGACTGTTAAAGAGAAAATGAATTTATTGGATGTGATGTTCAGTGGCTCACAAAATTGATAAGAAGTTGCTGTGGGACTAGGGTGCCAAGACACTGCTGAGATTCTGGCAGAGGCACCGCCACTGTCACCACCAGCCCAGACAGTGTCTGCTGTGCTGTCCCTGGAAGCTGGAGCTCCAACAGGGAATATCGGTTTAGTTGTGCTTAGGCTGTAAGCCACACTCGAGCCAGCGGGCAGGGAGAGGGAATGTCATACTCCCTTCACAACTGGGGAAGGAAAGGGGAAAGGGCTCAGGTTATCACAGGGGCTTACATGCTGAGCAGCTACAACCCAGGTGTTCAGAACAGCTGGAAGATGCATTTAGGGGTCACAAAGAGTGAAAGTAATATTGAGGAGTATCAGTCATGTGTTGCAGGCTTTCTATCCCTAACATTTAATCTTTACAATCTTGTGTAAACATTTATCCATGATGATGACTTCTTTAAGGTTGGAGTGGCTGTCGAGAGCTAGAGCCTTAATTTGACGTTAGCTCTGGCTGACCTGGAAGCTTTTACTTTTTTGTTAATCCCACTGCTTCACTTTGTCATTCAGCATTATCATGATCATGAACAAAACTGTATTGACAAAGTTTGTATAAGTGATATTAACAGTATTGTATTGTGCATCCATGAAGGGGGTGCTACTCTTTATACTGTACATTCTGTGCTATACATTGCATCCCATTGATGAGTACTGTGCTGTATACTGTCATCAGTGTTCTTGTTTGCTTTTCCTAAAAACCTACAAAATAAGACACATTTTTATACATTAGACCTTTAAATTGTTTGAGACCAGCCTGGGCAACATCCAAAACCCCATCTCTATCAAAAATACATAAACTAGCCAGGTGTGGTAACATGCCTAGCTACTAGGAAGGCTGAGGTGGGAGGATCACTTGGGCCCAGGAGGGTGAGGCTGCAGTGAGGAGTGCGTGTACTCCATCCTGGGTGATAGAGCGAGACCCTGTCTCAAAACAGATGAATAATAATTAATAATACAAAAACTTTTAGATTATAAAATACATACCAATTGCGAAAACCAACATTTTTTACATTGCTGGCCATTGGTCGATCTGACTCTGAATGAATCTCACTCTCAGGACCAGGATTATGCCACAGTTTCCTTTTTCCTGTGTTTTCAGTAGTCTTGTCTCCTGCCCCATTCTGCTCTATCTCATTTAAATATTTGGTATCAGCTCTGAATTTGTGCCTACTTAAATTGTAAGTGGCTTAAAATGTTACGTTTTTGCAAATTCAAACTGAGAGCTTTTGAAGCACAAGAACACATTGTCTCAATCATCTTGACATCACCCCCACCACACACCTAGAATGCCTTCTGATTGAGAGCAAGTAAAGATAAATATGTAATTGAATGTATGTGCAATATGGTTGTATATGTTAGCAGACTCTTAGTTGGTACTGATGCTGAAAGTATATTCCCTCGTTTAATTCTGTGGCTCTAGAGCAGGCGTCCCCAAACTACGGCCCACGGGCTGCATGCGGCCCCCTGATGCCATTTATCGGCCCCCCGCTGCACTTCAGGAAGGGGCACCTCTTTCACTGGTGGTCAGTGAGAGGAGCACAGTATGTGGCGGCCCTCCAACAGTCTGAGGGACAGTGAACTGGCCCCCTGTGTACAAAGTTTGGGGACGTCTGCTCTAGAGAGCCATTCAGCTTATCTTCAAATGAAAATACAAGGAAGTGGGGCTGGGCATGGTGGCTCATGCCCGTAATCTCAGCACTTTGGGAGACCAAGGCAGGTGGATCACCTGAGGTCAGCAGTTCAAGACCAGCCTGGCCACCATGCTGAAACTATGTTTCTACTTAAAATACAAAAATCAGCCAGGTGTGGTGTGGCACGTGCCTATAATCCCAGCTACTCTGGAGGCTGAAGCAGGAGAATCTCTTGAACCCGGGAGGCGGAAGTTGCAGTGAGCCGAAATCATGCCACTGCCCTCTAGCCTGGGCAATGGAATGAGAATCCATCTCAAAAAAAAAAAAAAAAAAAAAAAGGAAAATACAAGGAAATGGTACATATTTCCTCTTGGGATTCTGAGTGATCCAGGGTTGAAAAGTTCATCAGAGAGTCTTTGTTAGTGAGCATTGTCTGCAGGTCTTCCCAGGTTAAATTTGGCAGCAATGAGCTGCTAAGCGTCTTGGTTCCTTTCTAAGGGTCTTAAAAAGGAGGATTAGTGGATTCTTTACTGGCTCAGAAGCCAATGTATTATTAAGCACATAATTTCAAAATACTTTCTAAACCATTTTAAATTTGATCCTTAGAGATCCAGATGAACTAGAGATACCAATCTAGAGATTCAAGTGGAGTCTTTGTCAGTGAAATTTACTGTACTTTTAATTTCCTAGCTTAAAAGATACTCTCTTAGATGATGCTGGCATTCTTTTTGATTTTTCAAATCCTCTGGGGTTTTATTAGAATATTTTAAAGGAGTCAGATACATTTTCAATCCATTTTAGATGTACTTTGATATTGAATAGGTGGATAGCCAATAACAGTTAGTATAAATTACAGCTTAATCTCAATGTAGGTAAAGTTGCATATCATTATGAAATAAGTTTTGGGTAGTTCTCAATTGGCAGTAGCCTTTCTCTGCTCTTGGTTAAGTCTCTCCTTTTGATGAAATTGAATTCTTGAGAAATGTAACTATAGCTAACACCTACTGAACACAAACTCGAACAGGTGGTGTACTTTGCACTTATATGCTTTAACCCTCATAGTGAAGTAGGTCTTTATTTTCCAAATGATAAAACAGTCTCAGAGATGTGAAGTTCAAGGTCATGCAGGCATTAGTACTACAGCTGGATGCCAAACCCACGTTAATCCAATGCCAAAGCCCGTTAATATTATTTTTACCATTCTTGAGATACACAATAAACTGCCAAGTTTAAAAGCTCAAATATACAATTTTTTTAGAAATAAGTATTATTGCTTAAATGTCAGATATAAATTAGTTTAAAAAGGTAATTACTACATAAATTCCACCTACAAATTAGGTAAGAGAGAAATAGGCAATTGAAATAGGTATTAGATGCTGGTCACTGGGTTTATATGACAGAGGAGTGTGGGGGGGATACTTGGCCGCCTTGGCAGTCAAAGAACGTTTCCCAGAACTTGGGGATGGGGTGTTGATGTTTTTGTGGGGCGGTCCTGGCCTAAGAAGCAGTAATGTACAAAGGCCAGGAAACAGAATGGATGGTCTATGTCAAGACTCTTGACTTTTTTGGCTTTAACTTACTTAAGTAAAAAGAACCGAATGTTCCGAGTTCTTTGGAAAGTTTGTGAATAAGAAGTGGCCACATCCCCTGATCTACTGAAACATTGAATTAAGATCAAAGACTTGCAAGTTTATGTTTTTTCCATTTCAGCAAATCCCTAGGTACCCTTGGATATGTTTTAGCTTATATAAATTGGACTTATCTGAAGACACTGGCTTTATCGATTGCCTTGTTCGGAAAGATCCTTAGAGTTGTAAGCATTATGTGGTTGGAAACGAAATGAAACAAAACATCCTACTGTTTGTTCCTACAAGGAACACAGGTCCAGAATTGGGGAGAGTGTGGAAATGGGTCAGAGGGAGGGGAGAAGAGTTGGGGGAATGCATTAAAATAATTTTGACACTTCGTTTTACCTACTTTTTTCTATGTGTAGTTTTTGGGTAACTGCAAAGTTATTTCTTAAAAATTAGGACCCTTCAAATGAGAAAGATACTCAAATGAGAAAAAGGAAGGTGATTAAATTTATGGAACAATGAATAGATAGGTAGACATGAATTTTTCTATCATATCAGTATATACTAATTAAGAGTTTGTTCGACAGCAAAAAGGAGTATTTGGCACAATAAATTATTGAAGATGTAACTCATTCTGTAGTATAAGCTGAAAAATACAAAGCGTTATTAGCTACAGGGCCGTAGAGTATTGTACAGTGATGTGAAGTACTTTTAAGAGTGTGGGCCGGACCTTGTGGCTCATAGCTATAATCCTAGCATTTTGGGAGGCTGAGGCAGGTGGATCCCTTGAGACCAGGAGTTCAAGACCAGACCGAGCAACATGTGGAGATCCCATCTCTACAAAAAATATAAAATTTAGCTGGACATGGTGGTGAAGGCCTGTAGTTTCAGCTACCCTGGTGGCTGAGGTGGATGGATTGTTTGAGCACAGGAGGCAGAGGTTGTAGTGAGCCAAAGCAAGATTGTACCACTGCACTGCAGCCTGGGTGAGAGAGAGACCATCACTCAAAAAAAAAAAAAAAAAAAAAAAAAAAAAAGTGTCTGAATTCTAGAGGAGCCCGTGCGGGTTCAATCCCATCTCTAAGAGTTGTGTAACCTCAGCAAGTTACTCCAAGCCTGTGTTGCTCCATTTGTAAAACAGGCAAAAACCCTATCACCCTCAGTGGTGGTTGTGAGAACAAATGAGTTTCTCTATGTAAAGTGCTTAGAATAGTGACCTACATGTAGTAAACAACACATGTTAATATTATTGTACAGAAGACACAGACCAGCAGCCTGAACCAAATTAGACCTGCAGGCATATTTTGTTTTGCAAGCATGGCATTTGAAAAAGAATGAGAAATGGAATGTCTTAAACAGGATGTGTCTTCCAATTGGCCACAGGTCCAGGCATGAGCTATTATCTCAAACTCAGCCTGACTCAAACATTCATGTTCCTTGCTTACTCTAAACACTTGTGCTTCTGACCAGTGGTTCAGGAGAATTGGTGGATAGTGGATTAATAACAAGGGATCTGCAATTTGAGGCTGACTTCACAAAGCACACCTGTGCCTTCTCCCAAACTGCCTGTTGTCTTTTAACTATTGTTTATACATTTCTCTCTCAATTAGCCATGTTACTCGAGTGTAAGACACTGTTTTATTTATCT